AAAAACAAAGGCTTGTTTTTATTGTTTCAGTCTCAAGCTTACTGTTATACCAAAATAGATAACATAGAAATGGAGTGGGGGTAATAGATGACAAAGATTTAAAAGAAAATTATTTAACTTTTGCAATAAAAGGAGATTGGATAAAACTAAATGAACTTGTGTTAGGAGAAATTGTACTTACTATAATTAGTGCTTATACAGCCAAACAGACGGAAACATTAAAGTACAATTTTGGAAACATTTGAATTAATTAATACAAAATTCCTTAACAAAAGAAACTGTTTATAAGAGGAAACTTGAATAGTAATGTAAAAAAAAAATTGAAGAGCGCATGAGATGATGCAAAGTGGAAATAGATTTGAGGATAGAAAACTTCTAAGGAGGCTATATTTCATATGATAGTAAAATACATAGAGGTGAATCAGGGGCGGAGCCAGGATTTCATTTCGGGGGGGTGCAGTGTGCTTCACCAAAAAAAAAAAAAAAAAATCAAATGTCCAATGTTTTTCAATAATTTAATTAGCTTTAGTCGATTTAATGATGCACCATAGTCTTTCAACAGACCAGTGGCCTAGCGGTATCAGCTTCTTACTTTCCAAAGGGAGGTCAAGGGTTCAAGTCTCAATAGAGACAAGTGTGTGTGAGTACCAACTAGGGAGGAAAAAAAAAAAAAAAAAAAAAAAAAAAAAAAATTATCAAATATTTTTAGAAATTAAAAACTTTAGGGGCGGCACTTTCTAACATTTCTATAAAACTTCTTATATATATAAAGAAATATACATAATAGGTGAATTACACTGATTTAACTAAAAGATTGACTAACAAACACAAACAAGAGCCTGTAACTTTGTTTTTTTATTTTTTTAGTTTACCTAGTTTTTTGAAAGTTAGTTTGTGGCAAGTTAGTTACCTCTTGGTAATGGTCAAAGATGTAATTCATACTTCAACCCAGTGTAATTAAAGGCCCAAGGCGCACCAAGGTGCTAGAGGTCCTTTGGAGCCTAGGCGCACGGTGAGGTACACGCCTAAGTGTAGTGAGGTGCACAATTGAAATTTTAAACTACCATAAAAACATTCATATCTCATAAGTCGCATCAATATTCTAAAAATTAATATAAAATATAAAAAAGTAAATCCATCAACTATACAAGCATTCAAGAACCATAAAACAAAGCACAAATTTGTTTTCTTGAAAGACAAAACAAAATTTCTTTTTTTTTTAATGGAAAACAGAGCACAAAAAGAAAGAAATCTATTAAACAAAAAGTTAAAAATAAAAAACTGTTACCAAGAGAAGGGAAAAAAGAAAAAAAAAGAGAGCCCAAAAAAAAAAAAGACGCAGAGACAAAAGAAGTAGATGAAGAGAGAGAAGTAGATGAGAAGAGAAAGTGTGAAGAAAAGGGAGAACAAACAGAGCCCCAAAAAAAAAAAAAAAAAGACGGAGAGAGAAGAAAACTAGACAAAGAGAGAGAAGTAAGCAAAGATGAGAGGAGAGAGAAGTAGAGGAGGAGAGAGAGAAGAAGAAGAAGAAAGAACTGACATGGCTTCATCGTTCAACTCTGCAACTAGGGATTTGTCGTTGGTCTCAAAGTCTCACTCTTTCTATGTTCGGTTAACACTTTGACTCTTAAGATTTCTTATTTGTTTATTCTTTTGAACAAAAGTTCCTTCTCTCATAAGCTAATACTTTCTTATAAGTTTATTATGTTGCCAAAAGTACCATTTTTAGCTTGAGAAATAGAATAATCATTTAAAAAAAAAAAAAGCGAGGCGTGCCTAGGCACGCACCTGACAAATAGGACGGGGCGCAACCGAGGCGCCCGCCTAGTAAACATGAGTGCGCCTGGGATGGCAAAAGGCGCTAGACCTACACCTCGAGCCTAGGCGCGCCTATAACAACACTACAGTTCAACCAAGGGCAAACGTGTAGTATTCAATACCAAGGGCATATTGAAACTTCTATACTCTCATCAAAATTAGGGCTCATGCATCTATGATCCATGCTTTAGCGTTTTGAAATTTCATGCTTTGGTTTGCAAAATCCAAATTGACATGCATTTAAAGTGTTTTGAAAACTTGAAAAAAAATAAAAATAAAATAAAAACTTAAAGTATAGAAGTGCAGAGCACTCTGATCAATTAATCTATCAATCAAACGATGCAGTACCTATGTCAATTGATCACCCTTTCTCTCTGGACCGGTTGATTTAGGCAAGAAAGCAGTTTCCTTTTTTCCCCAATAAATTAGAAAGTAGTTCCCTTTCCAGCTTTAAATACTAAAAATTCAATTCTCTCTACAACTCTGAATGGTATATGCATTTTTTTTTTTTTTTTCCTAGTTGGTACTCACACACAAATGCCTTTTCTAAGACTTGAACCCCTGACCTCTCTTTGGAAAGCAAGAGGCTGATACTGCTAGGCCACTGGCCCGTTGGACAAATCATAAAACACACAACATACAAAGAGATGCATATGTTTGAGAGTTTTTGAGCAAAATTGAGAGCATTCATATTTTTCTTCTGCCATTCATCAACAACATTAGAATTTGTGAGTGTTATGTGAGAGTATTGACATCATAATCATTGTGGAGCTAATTTGGACAAGTTCAACACCAACAATCATTCAAGCAAATCAAGATTGAAGTGAGCGACTAGTCATTGGAGATCAAATCACTTATTGAAGTAGCAGATTCCCGAGGAGCGAAGTTTGTTTATGAGCAAACTGTGTGCCAAGAGGCTCGAGTGGAGAATCTGGTGGATCAGTCTATGTCAAGAGGTAACTAAGGGTTCAAGATATCCAAACTATTAACCTGGTGAAAATATCTTTCGCATAGTGGATTCGATTTGGCTAGACAAGGGACCCCTAATTTTTTTCATTTGGGTTTTCCACGTAAAAATCTCAATGTCCTTTCTCCAAGCTTTTTACTGCTTTTATTTATTACATCTTGATTGGTGTGCTAATTAGCACGATGGATTTATCGAACGTCAATATTTAATTTTAGTTTGAATTTCAAATTTCAGTAATTTAGTTAAAATCCAAAACTTTTTTATATTTAGTTAAATTTATAAGCAAGACCTAGAATACGTCTAGAACACGGACCTTGCACTAACTCTACCAAAGCCTAGGTTTCTGATCCTTACGCCATCAAGTTGTACAATCATCAACGTATTAATTAAATTCGTAATTCATACTACAGATGCTTGAGAGAGAATATTTTGTTGATCAATAATTACACGAAACTACTCAATTTAGAATTATGCCTGAGACATCAATAATGGAAGCTATTTAATTACAGAGTAGACTAATGGAAAGATGTAGAGATCAGAAGAAGAATTTTAATAAGGACATTATATATGTAGAAAAGCCAATAGGTTGCAAAGAGAGAATTATGTGGATTTTTATAAAGAAATGAGTAAAAATCAAATGTTGACATGATAAATATCATTTATAATATAGTTGTGCCTATAAGAATAATAAATGTACAGCATTTTCAATTACAATAGGCTTGCATTAGGGATCAATATTAAACTCATATCTTTTTACAAAACATATTCAATATGAGGCTACATAGTGTATGCTATTTCTTGATGACATTGTTTTTGATTGATAGAACTAAAGAAGGGAGAAGGAGAGAAGCTCAAGAATCAAAAGGGTTTAAGCTAAGTAGGATTCAAATTGAATTCATCAAATGTAACTTTATAAAACTAGAAGTGCAAATAGGAATGCAGTGATCAAGGGTTAAAGGATGCTACAGAGCAAACAATTCCATTACCTAAACTCGATCACTCATAGAATGGAAAAGGTTAGTGATGATGGAATAAAATCGGTGCTTTTATCATATTGTATGATTACATATACCTCTAAAATTGAAAAAGTAAATTATACGAAGTGATTGTTAGTTTAACTATACTCTATGAAACTAAATGTTAAACAACTAAGAAACAATAGATTCACAAAAATGAGCCTGGTTCAAATGTTGAAGTGGACATGCAGAGAAAAGTGACTAAGATAATTTGACAATGTGCAACTACCAATCCTGCACCATTAAGAAAGAGTAGCATATCACACTGGGGATAATGCTAAAAGAAAAGAAAGATTAAAGTTAACCTGAGTTAATATAGTAAAGAAACATAAGATTTGTGTTGTTTAACTCAAGTTATCGCCTTACATGGAACAAAACAAGAAAACAAAATTTATGTAGCAAACCCCAAATAGTTGGGGCAACGCTTTATTGAGTTTAATTGAGTTGGGAAAGTGTTATAATAAATACTTTGAAAACTTTGAGTGGTGCACGTATATCCTTCGTAAAGGATTTCACCATAATGGACATGAACAGTTGCTCCTACGGTAACCAATTGATTTGAAAGCCGAATTAAATTTGCAGTTGGATTGTATACAGTAAGAATAAAGAATTCAACAAACTTCAAATAGCTTAATGGTGTGAATATGGACCCCTCTTATGAATCCCTTCCTCCCAAGGTTGCCCTTTTTTTTTTTTTTTTTTCAGGTCTCACTGACATAATAAGCTTGTAATAAATAGTAGTGAACTATTTGACTAGTATATTACATAATTGCAGACAAACTCTCCAATAGTGGAAGCTAAAAACAAAATACATAGAGGCGGCAACTGACTTCGAGCAAGTATAAAGGCATAACAAGGTAGTAGCACCACTGAAACTTGTAATTGAGAGAGGCATAATACAAGTTTAAGTATACATTTAGCTGGCATATACATCTACAGCACAATCTAGAAACCTTATCAACTTCAAACATTTGAACCCAAAAAAGCATCCCAGATTTCAAGAAGTTAACATGCGGACCAATCAGTTTTGTCAAACCCAATGATTTTATTTGATGAGAACCCCGGTGATTAATCTGACTGCTGAACGTACGTTGTAAAACTAAAAAGAAAGTATAAGGGATCTTTTCTTTTGTTCTTGCAAAAATAATAATAATAATAATAATAATAAATAAATAAAAGAGTGAGAAACGAAGGCCTACCTGAGGGTACTGGGACAGAAGCTTTCCCCACTCGACCTTCCGCTTTTGCATCAGTTGCCGTTTCTGGGCACGATTCAAAATTGAATCAACCGACTTCGTCTTCTCCGCATCAATGGCGGAATCATCTGTACCACAGATCAGACGTTGAAGATGAATATGACAGAAAAACCCATAAGCCAAGAAAGTCCAAATACATGAAAAAGAAAGATTTCACACCTAAAGCCATTGGAGACACCAATGGCTCGCCTTCAAATGCAACAACCGGAGATTTCTCAGCCACAGTCGCATCCAATCCATCCAACGCTTTCGAAGTATCGGCACAAGGCGTATCAAAACCCAATTCCTTTGCCGGCTCTGGGGTTTCCACAGGAGGCGCACAAGGTGTCTGGTGCGATGCCTCCGCCGCCTGCGGTGGCAATCAAAACACATCAAACTCGAAATTCACATGAAAAGTAAATGCGTGCATAAATGCATTTAGATTGTAGAGAAAGATAAACCTTGACAAAACCCTAACCCAGATCGGGAAAGAACCAACCTTTGATCGTTTGCGGTTGGGGAGAGAAGACGAAAGCGGACGTTTTGAGGAAGATGAGCTTTGCCTGGTTTCAACCATGTCTGTACCGTATAATCAAAACAGAGAATTATACAGAAAAAGAAATGTATATGTGTGTGTGCATATATATATATATGTGTGTGTGTGTGTAACAGAGAGGATTGTATGGTGAATGATTGAAGGAGATCAGTCACCAAGCTTCCTGCTCTTATTTGGTAAAGGTCAAAGACTCAAAAGCACGGGTCTGCTCTGGTATTTATATCCGTAAATTAGACACGTTGCGTATTTTTTATTTTTGTAAAGAACTGGTATAATTCAAATTAAATTAAATTTATAAAATTAAAAAAAAAAATCAGAAATTAAAAAGTAAATTATAAATTTGTCCTTAAAGGTTATTACAATAATATTGATTTTCATTTTTAAAGATATATTAAGATTATTTTGAGATTTTTATAAATAAATAAAAAATAGTCAAACTTCAAACTATATTAAAGGGCAATTTGCACATATTTTTAAATATTAAGCATTTATATGCACATATTAAATTAAATACAATGGAAATTAAATATAATGGGTATTTGTCACACATTTTTATATATTCTGATTTTTTGCACTTTACACTTACATATTTACAAAATAGAGTTTTGGCGTAAATCAAAATCACTCTTGAATAATAAAGAACTCAAATAAAAGATGTTAAAAGATGTTGTGCTATGTTTGGTGTGTAGGAATGGAATGGAATGCAAGTGGGAATGGAATGAGAATGGGAATGGAATGGAATGGTTATTATCATTCTATTGTTTGGTTGTAAAAATGAAATTTGTAGGAATGAAATGCTAATAACCATTCTAATGTTTGGTTGGACTAATTTAAAATTTAGAATGGAATAAATTTCTAATTGAATTCTCCAAAATATCCCTCTTAGTAACAAATAAAATAAATTAAATTAACAATTGTGGTGGTGGCAGAAGGCAGCAGCAGTGGTGGTAGTGGTGGCGGAAGGTGATGGCAGTGGTGGAAGGCGATGGCGGCAGCGTTGGTGGTTGTGGAAGACGGTGGTGGTTAAAGGTGGCGGTGGCGATGGCGGTGGCTGTGGCGGTAGTGGTAGTGATGGTGGTGGTAGTGGTGGCGGTGGCGGTAGTGGTGGTGAAAGGCGGTAGCGGTGGTGGTTGCGGCAAACGGTAGTGAAGGGCGGCGGTGGTGGTGGCGATAGCGGTGGTAAAAGGCGGTAGTGGTGGCGGTAACGGTGGTGAAAGACGGCAGCGGCGGTTGCGGCAAATGGTGGCGGTAGCGATGGTGAAAGGCGGTCGTGGGGGTGGTAATGGAAAGTGGTGGGCTATGGTGAAAGTCGGTAGTGGTGGAAGGCAGTGGTAACGGTGGTGGTGAAAAGCGGAGATGATTGTGGTGGAAGGTAATGGTGGTTTTTGGACTTGGAATATGAGGGTATTTTGGGAAATCGATTTTTTAAAATAAATTACTTGGGAATGGAATAGCCATTCAATAGGTTTAGTTGTGGAATGGATTTTCATTCCCAGGAATGGATTTTCATTCCAATGGTATGGTCATTCCCACTTTAAGTTACATACCAAACAAAAGAATAGTTGGAATGGACATTTCATTTCATTCCATTCCTACACACCAAACGCAGCATTGTAGTTAACGAACTTCTTCACCTTTTAAAAGAAAAAAATCAATGTTTCAGATCGGTATGGGCATATGGGTGTGTGATTGTATTTTTTGTTAAATAGTAATAATAATAATAAAGAAATAATAAATAAAAATAGAATGATAAATATTTAAGAAAAATAAAATAAAATGATAAAATTACAGTAGTTTTATTTAAGTTGCAGTCTGTCTTATCGTAGTACAAGTTAGCTACTCGTACGCTAAAACTCTTGTTCATCATGTTCATCTCAAGGAAGAAATCTTCCAAGTACATCATTGACCATAAAAAGGAAAAGAAAGGTTGGCTTTCGTGTGAACATAAAAATATGGAGAACAATTCTATTTTTATTGTCGTCAATCCGCAGCTTGGCAATCATACATATATATATATATATATGGTTTACATACTTAATTATTCTATACTTTTAAATCTGTGCAAATTGATTCTACCGGCACATTTAAATTATAATTTGATTAAATTATTCTTAACTATTTTACATACTAGTAAATTGCATGTGAGTGAAATCTAATTTTAAATACCTTCCAAAAAAAAAAAAAAATCTAATTTTAAATTAATATTTAACAAAGTAATTGTTGACCCTACAGGTTATTCAAAGACTGTTTAATGATTTTGATGATTACAAAACATTAAAAATGTTTTCGGACTAATGTTTACATTGAGCATGCAGAGCAAAGAGATAAAATACGCAAAGCAATTACAACCAAGCAAACAAGACGTATATATCATTTCGAGAAAAATCAAGTTTACCTTAAGCATAATGCAATCATGATCAACTTGAAGAAAAATGGGTAGATAGATTGGTGAGTGATTAGGATCTCTGTCAAAGTAATTTATAAATTAATTTGAAGCTCATATTTATAGGCTCATGCATTTACTTCAAATTCATTTTCATAAGATCTTGCATTTTAAAAGAAAAATCAAAATTTCCTATTTCTTAGATATTGTAACCAGTTAGGAAATATCATCTAACAGAGTAGATGAGCAAAACAGAGAGCACGACTTGATCAACTAGATCTAATAACCAGTTAGAAAGTTGGTTCTAAGTGATTAGATCAACGCACAGAATGACACATCCAATTATATCTTTTTGTAACCGATTAGGAGAACCTATGTAACCGATTACCTTCGCTCAAATAGAATACTATTTCTTTTGGCCAATGATGTAAGCGGTTAGGAGAACCTATATAACCGGTTATCTTCGCTTAAACAGAATACCACTTCTCTTGGCCAATGATGTAACCGGTTAGAAAGCGCTCAGTACTCGAGTAGTTGATCTAAAACTGAAAAAGTCCTCTAGCTGATGTAACCGGTTAGGAAGAATCCTGAAACTTGTTAGATAAGATCCAATCTCAGTTTCTCGACTATTTTAAAGGAGCTAAGACAGATCTAAACTTTAGTATTTATTGCTCCAACGGTTACTTAGTTATTTAATGCTCCGCAACCAACTCCAACAGTCATATTTGAGCAATTAATGCACTTCATCTTTCTTCTCACTCTATATAAGTTCAAGCATTAATGAAGGTAAAGGCACGGTTGAGAGATCATTTGAAATATCATTTAGGAGCATTTGCTGTAGCATTTATTCATTCAATCATATTAGACTTGAGCTTCATTTGATTCATTTATTACTATAGTCTTGTGAGCCTACATTTGTATATCTATCTCGAGAGAGATTCAATCTTGTATTTCAACTACAAACTTCTCTACAAACTTGTAAGGCTTGGTGTGACCCAAAAGAAGCCTAGAATAAGGGTGTTCTTTTAGCAAGAAAGGGAAGCAAAGGCTTGCTTCATGTGAAGGTTTGCTCTCCACCATTAAGGAAAAGCTTTAGTGGATTGGAAAGTCTCAAGAGGGATCTTGAGCCGAGGAGTAGGAATTTCCGAACCTCGCTAAAATCTCCAAGTCATTGTTTGCAATCTCTTATCCCTATCTCTCTTACATTTATGTTTTGAATTATTTATCTACCATATTGCTTATTGCATATTTGTTGATTAGAAGTTAAATTTGTAAATTTGAAAAATTGCCCATTGACTTTATTCACCCCCCTTCTAGAGTCAATTAGTGTCTAATAGTAATTAAATATTTATAAATTTTAAAATATACATAAACATAAAATTAACACAAGCTAAAAGAGATAAAAATATAATTTTTAATTGAACTTTATAATATCAAACTCCTAAAACAATATCAAAATCAAGACTAACAGTTTACTAATATTTTATTTATTCATATATTAAAAAATTATTTATAAAATTAGAAAATATGTGGAGACTAAATAGACTAAATTATTTATTTTTTTTATATATTTTCTTTTCTAATTAGAAGGACTAAATTATTTATTTTTTTTTTATATATTTTCTTATCTAATTAGATTTCCTTTTATTTAAAAAAAATCATAATAAATAGGTAATTTGAGTTTTATTAAAACTTTCTAAATATGTAATTTGAGTTTTATAGAAACTCTTATAATTATAGAAACTCTTCTAAATACCTTATAGCATCTCCAACCATTATGTATATTTTTTTTTAGTATATTTATCCCGACAAATAAAAACATACTACTTCACCGAGTCTATGTGGCTACTTATGTGTCAAATATAATGGAACCCATTTTAAAATACAAGGTAATTAACTATTTGGAAAGTTGTAGTCCAATTTGTAGGTTTCATATTAATATAGTATCTTTGTTGACTATTAAATCAAATTGTATATGTGTTTTATATAGGGTCAAGTGCAAAAAACACCCCTATAGTATGCTTACAGTGCATATTGCACCCCTCCCATGCAAAAAAAAACACCCTTAAACTATGACATTTGTGCAAATAGGTCCTATTTATAAATTTTGGACTAAAATGCCCTTAGCAACACATTTTATAATATATATATATATATATATATATATAATATTTTGTTAAATTAATAAAAAAGGGTTTGGCCGTGGTTGCCGCCACAAAACAGGAAGGGAAGACGGGAGAAGACCCGTCATGTGTTGGGGACATCCGCCATCACCGTCGCCGTCGCCACTACCCAGTTCCATTCTTTTCGGTGAAGCTCCAAGTACTGAAACCCAGTTCACGTCAGGGTGTTCCCAAGCAACGGCAAAGCAATGACGAGCTCCTAGTGTCAATGACATCCACCATCACCATCACCGTCACAACCCACACAATCCCAATCCCAACCTAACACCCATCAGAGGATTAGTTCATCAACTTGTTAGAGAAAGTGTATGTATATTATATATATATGGAGAGATAGAGAGAGAGCAAGGGATGGATGGATTTTTTTCGAAAGGATGAGAGGAAAAAGAAATTTGGTATTGAGAGAATCCAGAGGATGGGTGGGTTTAAAGGATGGCAGGTTGTGGTGCAAATTGGGACTACAATAATTGGTTATTGTTGGAGGAATATGATGGAAAGCTCTTCATGGAACTGATTGTAAAATAGATAAGTTATATATATATATATATATATATATATATATATATATATATATATATATGGATTGAAAGAAAAAAATTCATTTAGGGTTAATTTCATTGACATGTT